GCTTGACAGGGTGCAGAGAGCATGCCCTGTTAATGCTACGAGCCGCTCTAGTATGTGATGTGCGCCCCAAACAGTGTGGTCCCAGTATAAAGCTTGTTTCTGGCTCTGGATGTGCTGTCATCTCCATTGTGAAAGCTTAGCTTGGAAGCATACAAAATATTTATTTGCTCAACAACAGGCACAACAGACATGGCAGACAGCCTGAGCTGATGGGTCTCCGGAATATTCTATGACTGCACAGTTGTTTCAAAAGGCTCAGCTTAGCTGACTGAAAGAAGGCTCTTGTAGGGTCAGGACTGCAGTCAATACTTCCTGCTTAGTTCCTTCTCTATAATGCCAAGTGTCATACCTTTGGGCGTTCTCTTTTATGTGACATCATTCCCTTGCTTTTTAAAACCAGATTGTTGGGGTTAAAGCCACCAAGTGGGGTGCTGGCATCCCTTACAGGTGCCAGTAAAGGTGCCAGCTGCTCTACTTCTGATCCAGCTCCCTGCCAAACTGCAGCAGGGGATGGGACAGGAATGGGCTCCTTTCTATGTGGGAAACAGCCTGGCTCTGGCCTGGTTCAGCCTTGGCTGTTGTAGCCATTTGGGGAGTGAACCAGTGGAAGGAAAATCTATCTTTTCCCCTTTCTATCTCTCCCCCTCTCTGTAACTATAGCTTTCAAAATGACAGGTAGATAGGTAGGTAGGTAGATAGATAGATAGATAGATAGATAGATAGATAGATAGATATCTTCTGTTAAACAAGAAAGGGTGCCGCACGGGCAAGTGGCCTGCTATGCCTGCACCAGAGGGTTTCGAACCCCTGCGGGCCTGAGGGAGTGGGCTTGCAAATGGTCAGGGGGATGGAGTTGGCAGGGGAATGTAGGGACACGGGGCTTGTGTCCAGGTGGGTAGAGAGAGGCGGGGGTTTCCTCACATGCTTGGTCTCGGGCAGGGTTGGGGGAAGGAGAAGGGGAGCAGAAGAGACCTAGGTTAGCATGCTGGCCTGTGTACTGGTGGAATGGGCTTGTGGAACTTTGACTGGGCTTGGGTTTTGGGTGTGTGGAAGGGTAGGGTCCCTGGACATCACATGTGACAGGAACTTAGGACCATGGTGAGCACAAGAGCTATAGGCCAGCACACCACCCCACCAGAGAATTGGGCTTTGGAAGCCTGGGCTGGGGAACTCAAGCTCTCTTGAGGGCAGGGACTATGGGTTGATCAGGGGAATGGACAGAAGTATGTGTGGGAGAGAGGACCGCTGAGCGAGTATGTTGCAGGTGAGAAGTGACTTCTGAGAGACTTCTATCAACAAGGCCATTGTATTTGCAGATAAGTAAGGGGGCTGAGGCCACATGGTTTGGCTGGGGGCAGTTGCAAGGCCTTTATGGATCGGACCAATGTACCAGCCTATGTAGGAGACCTGAGCTGGGATAGTTAGCCGGGATCACTGCCAACCACCACGTACCAGGCAACACTAAAGCTAGACTTGGGGGCCTACCTGGCAGGACTAGATCACTGTACCTGCCAGTGAGAATTGGAACAAGGGCCAGGTCAGGATGGACCATGACCCTGACCCTCATGTAAAAGAACTGCAGAACTACCTATAGAGTACAAGATCTGGACTAGGAGTGGGTTCAGTCGAGAAACCGTGGGCACTTCTCTGATGGGCTGCAACTCCCACTGGTGAGCAAGAGAACCAGAGCTGGGGTTAGGCCTACGTAGACAAGCAGTAGCACCCACTGGCATGATTGTGGGCTGGATAGTGGAGTCTTTTGGAGTGAGTTAGGCTTCACTATGCATTGGCATGTATGAGAGCTGAATGGGATGTGGGACAGACTGAACCAGTCTGCTGCACATACCAGGATGCACAGGAATCAGAGCTGGGGGATGTTGGGGCTTATTGGGGGTCACTCTGACTAGGCTATAGTTCCTATGGGTGTACATGAATGGCAAGAGTGTGGTGGGCAGGCTTGGGCTGGGCTGCAGCATCCATTGGTTTATGCAAAAGATGGGCCTGGAAACAAAACTGACCCAACGATTGCAACTACTGTTGTGGCGACGCTCCAGACAGGGTGGCTGGAAGGAACCTGTTCCCAGGCTGGCCGGCAGGCGGGTGCGGCAAGCGAGCGGGGCTCCCTTAACAGGGGATCAGCTAGGCAGGTGGGCCACGAGCGGGTGCGGCAAGCGAGCGGGGCTCCCTTAACAGGGGACCAGCTAGGCAGGTGGGCCACGAGCAGGCGGAGGTGGGGCAGAGGTTTCAGCTCTTTCAGCCTGGACCAGGCAGGGCCAGGAACAGTGTTACAGCTCGGCGGCACTAGCCAACAGCTGGCCGGTCCGCGTGCAGCTCTGGGCCGCTCCAACTACAGGCCCTCTTCACTGAGACCACAGTTGTGGACTCCGCCGCTTCTTCCCTCCGCCGTCACCGCCGCTTCTTCCCTCCGCCGTCACCGCCGCTTCTTCCCTCCGCCGTCACCGCCGCTTCTTCCCTCCGCCGTCACCGCCGCTTCTTCCCTCCGCCGCTTCGGTCACGGTCTCGGTCACCGCCGCCGCTGCCGCTGTTGCTGCTGCTGCCGCCGCCGCGGCTGCCACCGCTGCCGCCGCTGCCGCCGCTGTCGTCGCCGTCGCCGCTCTCCCCCCCCGAAGAATCACCAGGAGTCAGGAGTCGACAGGAGCGTTTATTCGAACATGCCCGGGTCCCCGAAGACGAAGACCCCGAACCTCTAAATCTTAGGGTTTTTATACAAAAATCAACCAATCAGGGGGTTAGTTTAGCATTCCTCATTAGAATGGGGGACCCTTACACCATTGGTTAGTTCAAGGGGTAGGTGGGGGTTCTTTATTGGGGTGACGGGACAGGTGTCACGTAGGCAGTTAGGTCCCCTGCAGGGCACCTGGGCAACTGTCCCCAAGTTGCCAGCCCTGAGCGTCAGGCAGGGGAAAGGGGTTAGATTGACTAAGTTCTTCATTCCCCCCTCTTTCTAGTAACAGTGAGAGCCAATCATGGCTCGGGAGCCTCGAAGTCAAGGCTAGTCTCCTGACAAGAGTGATACTGGGATCTCAAAACCATCACTTGTACTGCACTTATACGGTCTCTTACAAAAGTGAGCAGCTTGTTGAGAAGACAAGGTCCAACAGTCAACAACAGTAGAAGAACAGCCAGAGGGCCCATCAGAGTGGATACCAGTGTAACCAGCCAGGGGGATGTGTTAGACCAAGAGTCAAACCATCCCATTTTATTTTCCCTCTCTTGTTTCCTCTTGGCCAGGCCTTCTCTCACTTTAGCCATGGACTCTTTCACTACCCCTGAGTGATCAGCATAGAAACAGCATTCTTCTCCTAATGCTGCACATAGCCCCCCTTGTTGGAGTAACAATAAATCTAGTCCTCGGCGATTCTGAAGTACTACTTCTGCCAGGGAAGTTAATGAGTCCTGCAAGAGAGAGATGGAATTTTCTATCCTTTCTATATCAACATCTATAGCTGCTCGGAGTTGACCATAGTATTGGTTTTGCAGGACCAGAGAAGTAATTCCAGTGCTGGTTCCGGCTACTCCTAACCCCAATAACAATGAGAGAGTAATGGCAGTTATTGGTTCTCTCTTGACTCTGGTACTAGGGAGTCCACTTTCCATGGACTGATAGATCTCAGTGTCTGTGTGATAGAATATTTTAGGCCACAAACGAACCTGTACACAATAATCCTGTGATCTGTTGAGTACCTGGGTGTGAATACATGGAGTCAACCCAGTGGAGCAAGCCCACCAAGTGTTATTCGAGGGAATAACATAAGCTGAGGTGGTAGGTTGTATAGTTTTGACACATAGATGACGATGAGATTCTGGAACTTTACCTATACATAACCCTTGCCCTTTTACCGATTGTAGAGTGAGTTTGACCTCAGCATCATGTTGGTATCTGCATCCATTAAAGCCACTGGACATTTTATAAGTGTCATTGACAGCTATGCCTTCATAATAGGGAGGTCTTGCACCATAGCATAACCAACAGGACTGAGTTAGATTAGGATTCGAGGCATTGAGTACTTGAAAGGTCGCTTGTAGAAGCTGCCAGAGTGGATCTTTGTCTGCGACTGGTGCCCAGTTCAGGGTTGGAGATGCTGACCTTGGGGTGGCGCGGGGAATGGCGGCACGGGGATGACGTCTAGGAGCATGTAACGTTGTCATCACTTGGCGTGCTGTTCCAGTTGTTATTCCTGGGGGTGCTGCAGTCTCTACAAGCGTGGTAGTCTCTGGAGGCAAGGTCGCTGCCACTGTCTTTATGAGGGCAGTGAAAATGAGTAACACAGTTGTTTTTGCAGTTTGGGCTCCAGTCAGGTAGCCCATTAACGGTGCCAAGACTAGTAATGGGATAGGGCCAACTTCCGAGCTCTTAGCAGGCAAGGGTGTTGTCTCTTGCTTCTTGGCCCAGTTTGGGCCTATAGAGGGTGTCCCTTTTTCTAGGTGTCTCTGAATTATGAACACATTTCCTCTATCGGTCCCTCCTTCATAATAACGCACTCCCCACATTTTTCCATAGTCCCATTTTTTATCCATCGGATTGGTTACTTCTATTCTGATGAGTCCACACAAGCCCTTCCCCATACGTCCAGGCGTTGCTAACCGCCTAGGTGTGCAATCCGGGGGCCACCAGCCAACAGCTATGTCTTCGTCTGTTTCAGACGGCTGCCAGGCAGTTGCCACTGTTTCACATCCCCAATATCCGCAATAGTAATGATTAGGCTGGTTACAGTAAGACGATCCCCCTGCTGGACACATGTAGAAGTCTGTGGCACCCATTACTATGGGTGCGTGTCCACAGGGATCAACAGGGGCAAGGTCACATAAAGATACTATAAAATGAGGAGGGTCTCCTCCTAAGGGTCCACTGAATGTGAGTACAATCCTGCCATCTTTGTTATCTATGAAGCGTCTCAGTTCCCATCTGTATGGGAGATGTGGGTTTGGCTGACCTAGCGTTAGACTTAGAGTTCCAGCTGAAAGAAGCAGAATAAACATCACGGTTCGGTGACACGTTGTAACTTGAGTTTGAAAGGGTTGCCATCGTCCTTGGCGACTTTCCATTTGTAGTCTAGTTTTGGGGGAGACTCGTAAGGGCGAACGTGAGTGTAGTGGACCCATGTGGCTATTCCGTCTACCTTGAGAGCTGTTGGAGTGGTCAGGATGACTGTGTAGGGCCCCTTCCAACGAGGTTCAAGAGTTTCTCGTCGATGTCGCTTGACGAGCACCCAGTCTCCTGGTTGGTAACGGTGAGGCTCAGGAGGTGGTGAAGTTTTGTAGAGGGCTTCCAGTCTTCTCCAAATGTCGGTATGAGTCCACTGTAAGGCTTGGAGGGATTGAAGGTAGTTATGATCATTAATTTCCATTATTACTTCAGCTCTCAGGTTAGGTATAATGGGGGGAGGTTTTCCAAACATGATCTCAAAGGGAGTTAGATCTAACTTATAGGGAGAGTTCCGTACTCGGAATAAGGCATAGGGGAGGAGTGACACCCAGTCACCGCCAGTCTCTAAGGTCAGTTTAGTTAGAGTTTCCTTTAGGGTTCTATTCATTCTTTCTACCTGTCCTGAGCTCTGGGGTCTGTAAGCACAATGTAGTTTCCACTCTACTCCAAGTACTGAGGCTAAGGCCTGGACTATCTGGGATGTAAATGCCGGTCCATTATCCGATCCTATCATAGTAGGAAAGCCATACCTTGGTAGGATGTCTTCTAATATTTTCTTAGCCACCACATTGGCTGTCTCATGCTTGGTGGGGTAGGCCTCCACCCATCCTGAAAAGGTATCTACGAAAACTAGCAGATATTTGTATCCATATTTTCCCGGTTTGACCTCAGTGAAGTCTATTTCCCAATAGGCCCCCGGGCGGTTGCCTCTCAGTCTAAACCCAGGATTAGCTGAGTTTTTGGTCATGTTAGCATACTGACAAGTCTTACAGTTTTTCACAATTTGTTCAATCTTGGGATAGGCTTCTCTGATTTTTACTCCGGCCCCTCTAATTAGGCCTTGCATCTTCCTAGCACCCATGTGGGTAGAACTGTGTATGCTGTGTAGGAGTTCATCTCCTAGCCTCTCTGGGAGTATGACCTTGCCTTTGGCAGAATAGTTCCAGCCATCCTTTTCTAGGACCATAGGTAAGGTCTCCATCCATTTTTGATCTTCTGAGGTGTATGAGGGTTGGTCAGGCAGGCAGGCACTACCTAGACATGGTAGTTTTGTTACTAGCACAGGAGCTGAGGCTGCCACCTCTCTGGCTGTCTTATCTGCCATGGCATTTCCTTTTGCTGCAGGGGTATTGGCCTTCTGGTGCCCTGGGCAGTGGATTATGGCCAGTTTTTCTGGTAGCCACAAAGCTGTTAGTAAGGCTAAGATTTCTTCCTTATTTTTTACAGTCTTGCCTTCTGCGGTAAGCAGTCCACGCTCTCTGTAGATTGCTCCATGTATGTGGGCCGTGGCAAAAGCATACCTGCTGTCAGTATATATATTTATCTTTTTATCTCTGCCTAACTCTAGGGCTTTGGTCAGAGCAATAAGTTCAGCTCGCTGGGCTGAGGTCCCAGGGGGTAAGGGTTCGGCCCATACTACCTCCGTCTCAGTGGTTACCGCAGCCCCTGCTAGGCGAAGTCCGTCACGCATGAAGCTGCTACCATCAGTGTACCAGGTCACCTCAGCATCCTGTAGTGGCAGGTCTTGTAGGTCTGCTCGAATTCCATGGACTTGCGCCAAGATCCCAGAACAATCATGTAGCGGGGCATCCAAGTCTGGGTCTGGCAGTAAGGTAGCTGGATTAAGAGCTGTAGGTACTCTAAAGGTGATGACAGTAGGGTTTAATAAAAGACTCTGGTAATGAGTGAGTCTCGCATTGCTGATCCATCGGTCAGGTGGTTGTTTGAGGACACCTTCTATGGCATGGGGTGTGGTAACACTTAATTCTTGACCCAAAGTCAGTTTATGTGCATCCTTTACCAGTAGTGCCGTGGCTGCTATGATGCGCAAACATGGGGGCCATCCAGCAGCCACCGCATCTAGTCTCTTTGAAAGATAAGCTACTGGCCTCCTCCATGGCCCCAAATACTGGGTTAAAACTCCTTTTGCCACTCCTTGCTTTTCATCTACATACAGATGAAAAGGCTTAGTTATGTCAGGCAACCCCAGTGCAGGTGCCGATAACAAGGCCATTTTAATCTTCTGGAAGGAAGCCTCCATCTCCTCTGTCCATTGAAACTTTGGCTGGGTTTTGGTGGCTCCATATAAGGGCTTTGCCAGTTCTGCAAACCCTGGTATCCATAGTCTACAGAACCCAGCAGACCCCAAGAACTCTCGTACTTTGCGTGGGGTGGTAGGCCTTGGGATCTTCAAAACAGTTTCCTTCCTGGCGTCTGATAGCCACCTCTGACCACCCTCCAATACATAGCCAAGATAATTTACCTTGGATTTGCAGAGTTGTGCCTTCTTTGCAGACGCCCGATACCCCAGCTCACCTAGTGTCCGGAGAAGGTCCTCTGTCCCCGTTAGGCAAGTCCCATAGTCACGGGCAGCTACCAGGAGGTCATCAACATATTGTAGAAGTGTGACCTGTTGGTGGGTTGCACGGAACTCACCTAGATCTTCATGTAAGGCATCATCAAAAATGGTGGGCGAGCTCTTGAATCCTTGGGGCAATCTGGTCCACGTCAGTTGCCCACTGATGCCTTTCTCGTGGTCTATCCATTCAAAGGCAAATAATTCCTGGCTTTTTGGGGCTAAGGGCAAACTGAAGAAGGCATCCTTTAAGTCCAGAACAGTATACCAACAGTGGTCTGGAGGCAGGGAGCTGAGTAGGGTGTAGGGGTTAGAGACAGTAGAGTGTATGTCCATCACCCGTTTGTTCACCTCCCGGAGATCTTGAACTGGCCGGTAGTCACTGGAGTGAGGCTTGCGGACTGGCAGTAAGGGTGTGTTCCATGCTGACTGGCATGGTCTCAATATGCCCATATCTAGTAATCGTCTAATATGTGGGATTATTCCAACCCGTGCCTCTGCTGACATAGGGTATTGACGAACTCTTACCGGATCAGCTCCAGGTTTTAGCTCCACGAGAATAGGTGGCCTGTGTTTGGCCAATCCAACGCCTCCCGTTTCTGCCCAAGCACTGGGGAACTTCTGCAGCCATTCATCTATGTCTGAGGCCGGGGGAGTAGGCTGTTGGTGTAAACGGTATTCATCCTCCAGCCGCAAAGTGAGGACATGAATGGGTTGTCCCTTATGATTGAGGACTTGAGGTCCTCCCGGTTGAAAACAAATTTGTGCTCCAATTTTAGTGAGCAAGTCTCTCCCTAACAGTGGGTAGGGACATTCAGGAATGACCATGAACGAGTGGGATACCCGGCCCATACCTAAATCCACCGTTCTTTGGGTAGTCCAAGAGTACCGGTTCATTCCTGTGGCTCCCTGTACCCAGGAAGTTTTGGTTGACAACTTTCCTTGGGGTTTTGTCAGTACTGAGTGTTGCGCTCCTGTGTCTACCAGGAAATTAATCGGGGTCCCCTCTACCTTAAGAGTTACCCTGGGCTCGGGGAGGGGGTCCGAACCCCGACACCCCTAGTCATCCAGTTCCCCCGCTACCAATACCGGTGTTTCACGGTGGCGTTGCTTTTTGTCAGGGCATGCATTTCTCCAATGTCCTTCTTTTCCGCAATAGAAACAGGCCTGGCTCCTATCACGCTTAAGCCTGCCTGTTAGCTCCTGGTTTCTATTATCCCTAGGCCTCTCGCCTTGTCTGTCTCTGAACTTCTCATCTCGTTCTCTGCTTATGTTTTTCAGCCTTTCTTCCCTTTCTCTTGGGTCTCTGGCTGTAGCTGCCAGTAATATCTTAGTAAGTTTGCGATCCCGTTGCTCACTGGCTCTATATCGCCTTTCTTCTTTTTCTTCAGGACTCTCTCGGTTGTTGAACACCCTTTCTGCAACCACTATTAAATCCTGGATGCTTTTCTCCGCTAGTCTTTCTACTCGTTGTAACTTTCGCTTAATGTCTGGGGCAGCCTGGTTGACAAAAGCCATCACTACAGCCGCCTTAGTTTCTGGTGCTTCTGGGTCCATGGGCGTATATTGTCTAAAAGCTTCCATAATCCTCTCTAGGAATGCCGCTGGACTCTCATCCCTACCTTGTTGTACACTCCCTACCTTGGCCAGGTTAGTGGGCTTGCGAGCGGCCGCTTTGAGGCCTCCTAACAGAGTCTGGCGATAGACCCGGAGTCTCTCCTTACCTTCAGCCGTATTAAAATCCCATCTAGGGCGGGAGAGAGGGAAACATTCATTTATTACATCTATATTGGTAGTAGGCTCTCCATTGGCTCCTGGTACCAATTTACGAGCTTCTGTCTGAATTCTCTCACGTTCTTCGGTAGTGAAGAGAATCTGGAGGAGCTGTTGGCAATCATCCCAGGTTGGCATGTGGGTAACGAGGATAGAGTCTAAAAGATCAATTAATTCTCTGGGGTTATCAGAAAATTTGGCACTCTGCATCTTCCAGTTATAGAGATCACTCGTAGCAAAGGGCCAATAGTGATGAGGCTGGTTTCCTTCCCCATCTGGAGGGCCTATGGCCCTTAGTGGCAACACCGTGGAATCAGCTGGCCCCGGAGGTGCCATTCGCTGCACCCTGTGTCGGGTGCCTGCTGCTGGTCCCATCATCGGCCCCTCGGTCACTCTGTCTGCTCTGGTAGAGGGAGCGGCTCGGGGTGAGCCCTGTCGGATAGGAGAGTAATAGGGCGGAGGGAAAATCAAGTCTTCCTCCACACCCCCTTGTAGAACCGGGTAAAGCGGCGCCGAAGGTCTGCTTTCATTTGGTCGCTTCTCTGAGTGCTCTCGAACAGTCAGCACTGTCTCCTGAGGTTCCTGTAGGGGTAGAAATCGCTTTACCCAAGGAGGGGGGTTATTAACCAAGTCTTCCCAGACGACTATGTATGGCGTCTGATCTGGATACCCCTTTTTGGGGCGCATGGTGATTTCCTTCACAGCTTCAATAACAGACAGGTTAAAAGTACCCTCAGCAGGCCAGCCAACATCGAACGCCGGCCACTCTGATGAGCATAGCATAATTAATTTTCCTTTTTTAACATTCAGACTCAAATCATGTGCTCTGGTCTTCACTTCCTTGAAATTGTTTACCAGGAGGGAAAGGGGGGTAGTCATGGTCTGTCCCATGTCGTTGATTAGTCAGGTACTCGCACCTAATAAGGAGGGAAAGGAACGATGTTTTAGATGGGGAGAGGAATTGAGGGGAATTCGGCTCCGTCCATACATGCGCCTAGGTTAGGGCAGATAACTGTGTTACGAATGCAATCATTAGGAAACAAGAACCTGTAAAGTCATTAACCCCTAAGCAATCACCTCCTCTTCATCGATAGTTTGTGATAGGAGGTATTTTGACCCATAGACACAATCAATAAACATTAATGCGTTTTCTGTGACCATGTAGCCATCCATGCACTCTGAAGTACATAAAGCAATCAACTTGGTATAATTTCACAGCATCAGGATCTTATAATCCAATCTCTGATAGCACTTAAATTATCCAGATTTCGTCTCTATCTTTGGGAGTCCCATGGATCCTATGGAATTCCCAAAGTCAGGAGACTTAGTTCAGAATCTTAATCAACTTATAGATCTGAATAAATCTTGGTTAAGTACACATCCATCCAACCATACCGATAAATAGGCCATCTTTGGCCAGCGCCAGAACATCACAAGCCACGTTAAATTTCAAAACCAAGTAAGGAGCAGGAAGTGTTGAAAAACACCTAGAATCTATCACCGAAGCCAGTGGCCATCACACAAAAGAGCTTTGATTCAGCACATGAACCCATCACTAATATCAGTGAGATCCACTATCGAGCAAGAGGCAAAAGGCAAAAGGCATAGAACCCCATGCGCCTAGTTGGGAGCAGAGGTGACCCTGGAAAAGGCGAGGAAAACTGGACCGAGAAGGCATTAACTTAAGCGTGAACTCAAGCCTCTTCCCAGCAAGGGGGTGGTGGTTGAGAGCTGGCTCCAGCCAGGTCCTGCTACATATGCATACCAATGCCTAAAGGCCCAGCTGGCGGTAACCAGCAACACCTTGGAGCAACGGAAGCTTTCAAACTTCAAAGACAAAGACACGTGACACACATCCGGTTCAGAACAAAGACATCACAGCCCCTCGAACCCGGAACCCAGGTGGAAAAGGCACTTTTCCACCTCTCGGGATTCGGAACCTGGGCAAAACGGGTGGTCCCTCTGACCTGGCACTTGGACGGCTCTTCCCCCTCGAGTTTAGAACTTTTAGCCCCTTCGAATCCGGAACCCAGCTGGGAGGTCGCCTTATACAGCCCCTCGAATCCGGAACTCAGCTAGAAGGTCGCCTTCACCATCAGACTCGGAACTCAGGCAGAAGCCCCATCGAATCTGACGCCCAATTAGAAGGTTGCCCCCAACCCATCAGACTCGGAACCAGGCAGTAGGCTACCCCCAAGCCCATCAGACTCGGAACCCAGGCAAGCAAGCTCATCTAGCTCGGAACCGGGGAGAGCACACAGTCCCTCAGGTCAGGCACCTGGACCCAGGGACGTCGGCCTTGGGGACCCCAGTCGTCACCAAGAGATCCCAGCCGACAGAGCCGAATTACGCGTCCGCCCAGACTCTGTAATGTCAGCTGCCGACTCCCAACCTCTCCGGAGACTTTTGGCCATCCTGCTAGCTCAGAAAATTAATTTAGAGAACTCTCTCTCGCTGTATTCAAATTAGAATTTAGGCGCGCCACTTATAGGTCCAATTGAATCTAGGTAAGAGGCCTTCTTACAAGCATTTAACTTATAGCCGGCAGACACAACGCATACAACAGTTTCAAGACAAGACAGACACACATTTAACAAAGTAGGCCTACTGAAGGAAAAATCATTCGGAGGGGACGCACCTACTCCTCCTTAGCAAGGGTGCCCGACTTGGAGGGGCCTTCCAGCTAACTCACCGAGCATTAAAAATGCAAAAAGGAAAATGGGTGGCAAAAGTGCCTAAGCGAGAGGCCTTTTAGCCTACTCATCAGGGCCCAAACGTAAGACTCGGCCGAAAAGGAGGTGAGTCAAAAAGATTGGGACAACTCTACCCGTAAAGAAAGGTAAAGACTCACCACACACGCCCTTCGAATTGAGTCCTGGTGATCTTGGGATCTCGGTGGGACCTCCAAATGTTGTGGCGACGCTCCAGACAGGGTGGCTGGAAGGAACCTGTTCCCAGGCTGGCCGGCAGGCGGGTGCGGCAAGCGAGCGGGGCTCCCTTAACAGGGGATCAGCTAGGCAGGTGGGCCACGAGCGGGTGCGGCAAGCGAGCGGGGCTCCCTTAACAGGGGACCAGCTAGGCAGGTGGGCCACGAGCAGGCGGAGGTGGGGCAGAGGTTTCAGCTCTTTCAGCCTGGACCAGGCAGGGCCAGGAACAGTGTTACAGCTCGGCGGCACTAGCCAACAGCTGGCCGGTCCGCGTGCAGCTCTGGGCCGCTCCAACTACAGGCCCTCTTCACTGAGACCACAGTTGTGGACTCCGCCGCTTCTTCCCTCCGCCGTCACCGCCGCTTCTTCCCTCCGCCGTCACCGCCGCTTCTTCCCTCCGCCGTCACCGCCGCTTCTTCCCTCCGCCGTCACCGCCGCTTCTTCCCTCCGCCGCTTCGGTCACGGTCTCGGTCACCGCCGCCGCTGCCGCTGTTGCTGCTGCTGCCGCCGCCGCGGCTGCCACCGCTGCCGCCGCTGCCGCCGCTGTCGTCGCCGTCGCCGCTCTCCCCCCCCGAAGAATCACCAGGAGTCAGGAGTCGACAGGAGCGTTTATTCGAACATGCCCGGGTCCCCGAAGACGAAGACCCCGAACCTCTAAATCTTAGGGTTTTTATACAAAAATCAACCAATCAGGGGGTTAGTTTAGCATTCCTCATTAGAATGGGGGACCCTTACACCATTGGTTAGTTCAAGGGGTAGGTGGGGGTTCTTTATTGGGGTGACGGGACAGGTGTCACGTAGGCAGTTAGGTCCCCTGCAGGGCACCTGGGCAACTGTCCCCAAGTTGCCAGCCCTGAGCGTCAGGCAGGGGAAAGGGGTTAGATTGACTAAGTTCTTCACTACCAGTGTGTGTAAGCAGATATGGATGACAGAATGAGCCGGAGCTCATACTGGTAAGCACACACAAGAGTCAGGTCTGGGATTACTGCAGACAAAGCTTCGTTGGGATGCCCCACAACTAAATCACTGAACTCAGAATTCCAACCACGGGGAAAAATTGCAGGATATGTGATCTGACTGTGGGGTTCATATGTCAGAATTGAACCTCCTCAGTGGCTTAAATGGAGCAGTGGACGGCATGCTCAGATGCACATGGAGGATATGGCAGTCCGTTGGGGTTTGCAGAAGATATCTGGTACCAGGGCAGAGGAAGGAGGACAGAACAAATTGGTCGACTACCCCACCCAAGTGTTGACAGGAAATACCTGGGTGAATGAAGACTCTAAGGTGGACTGTGTCAGCCAATGGACCTTGGAAGTTTTCCTCATCCTCGGAGTGTTGAGATTGACAGCAATTCACAATTATTGGAGCCACTTGAGCAGAACCCTTGGAGCATGTTCCACATCGGGAACCCTGGAATGACACTGGATTGCCATTTCCCATTCCTGGGTACTGAGGCAGTAGGAAGGCTGGGTGCAGTTTCTTCCCCTATCTCTCCCCTTCCCCAGACACAGGAAGAAGAAAAAGAAAATTTAGGAACAATTATATCACCTACTTTCTCCTAATCCTCAGCCCTTCCCACCCTAGGTCACACTCATTTTGTAATTTATTGAATTTAAGGGTCATCAGGAGTCATGGTTTTAGGTACCACTAACAAATAAATATTCCCACAACCATAGCAGTTTCCTTAAAACTTTTATTAGACATTTATAAAATAGCATTCTTTAGCTTATCTTGCACTGATTTCTCTCTTGTATGTCTCTTTGGGTCATGTAAAAATAACAACTACAAATAATTAAATTGGTCAAGATATTTTATAAAACTTTGCATCCTCCAATCTGTTTTTTAAGAATTGTTTTCTGGCGCTGGTCTAGTAAGAAAAGCCTTGGTCTTACACCTGTGTCCCATATGGGCGCCTGTTTGGGCTCTTCTTGATCCATTTGTGACCCAGTTCACTGCCGATGGCCTAGGTAAAGCTGTGGAATATAGCCCAAGTGTTTGGGCCCCCCTGACAGTCATGTGGGAGAGCCAGGTGAAGCTCCTGGCTCCTGACTTTGGACTGGCCTAGCCCCAGCTCTAGTGACCATTTGGAGAGTCAACCAGCAGATGAAAGATCTCTATCTCTCTCTCCCCACTTTCTCTCTATCTTTATCAGTCCATAAATCTGACCTTTAGATAGATAGATAGATAGATAGATAGATAGATAGATAGATACATAGATAGATAGATACATAGCGATAGATAGATAGATAGATAGATAGATAGATCCTAAGAAAGAAAAGAGTGATTTTCCAATTTAAAGTCATAGAGTTGGTGTTTGGCTGCACAGCCATCAAGAGCACTGGTGACACTGCATTGCCTAAGGCTCAGAGATGGTTCCATTTGTAGCTCCAGGCTCTCCTTCAAAGCAGGTCCTGGTTTTTGCACCTCTGTACAGGCAATGACAATGATGGCCGTCTGTGGTTGGCTAACAGTGACCTGAAGATGTGTTCTCATGTAAGAAATGTTAGTACTAAAATGCACTAGCATAGAGTGTAGTCTGTTAACTCAGACCTGCCTGTTAACCTGTCCTTGTGATTCCGGTGGCTGGTGCCTCCCACTGCAGGCAGGCAGGAACGAGCAGGTGCTGGATTTTCTGCACTCTAACCTCTCACTCACCACAGATATCTCCTAGATTCCCTTTCATGCCTGATGGCAGCTTGGTGAACCTTGGCAGGGAGAGCAAAATTCAAAACCAGATGAAAACGTGTTCTGGTTGTTGCTGTTGAAACCTTGATGACTACGGTGGAGTGAGCACAGGAGCTCCTGATTCCAAACACCTGAATCAAGTAGCCCTTTCACAGTCACCAGAGTGAAGATTCTGCTACTTGTGTGCAAGCAGATCTGTTAGGAAAATTGGGAGGCGCTCCAATTGCTGACAACAATGGCTCTGAGGAATTGACTGTGTTGGAATCTATGATCCAA